ATATTAGTTTATTAAAAATGCATTAAAATGTATTCGTTTTTGGACTTAGTGTGTTTTGCTTGTAAACCGACAATATTATCATATATGCATAGCTGTCGGCCCGTCTAAGGACTCCACTCGGGTAACTCTCTCTACGTGCCGAGTTTGGTTCCAATCAACCCATAATTAAGAGAGAGAAAAATCCTCATGATTTCGTCCATTTAGAGGCATCGGTTCGAAACGTCCAGGGCGTCATCCTGTAGCCCGTCCCCAATTATGCCAAAATCGACCCACATTTTTCTTCAATATAAAATCGTTTGTCCCCCCCCTGATGAAGATATAAACGAAACGTCGTATCCAACTTTGTAGGGTGGGATCGTGTGCACCGTCGCTCACATAGCCTACCCACCAAATATGGTCGCGATCGGACATCAACTTTGTTGTCAACTTAATGTTTCTTACGTCACAACTGTCACAGTGACACGTGTCGTACACGGTCAAGTTAGCCTCGCTCCAATCTGTCGACATACCAAATTTCATTTAAATTGTAGTGCACGAAACGTAGTCAAAATATCATGAAAAGATGGGGCTCTTATCTACATTCGGAGTTTCAACCCCCTAGCTCACATAGGGCCCGAGTTAAGGATGATTCACGGTACACCGGACCGTACCCGAGCCGGGCACGTTCCGTAAAGTAGACACCGAGCCACGTCCGGGCCTTCAATATATGCAACACCGAGTGGACAACGGTGATCATGTCCGTGCCGATTATATTCTAGAAAACAGTGTTGCCGCAGTGGTACATTTGTACCAAATTTGATACTTTTAATTCTATTTGGTACAGTGGTACATTTTCAAATCCAGGATGATTCGATACAATAATTATTTCCCACGCGCACCGAAAATGAATAGATATTTAATAATTATCGTCGTTGATATTGCATTAAACGCGCTTACCGATACCATTCGGAGACAATCCGCATTAATTAACGACGTATTATAAACGTTGTAATGTCTATAGGGTTGCCTATATTAAATAACCCGAAGAAAAAACTTAAAAATTTACTGTTTCTAACATGCTTCTATATTTGCGTTTTTTTTAATAAAATTTAAGTTTTCCAAGTATCGTGTGTAGTATTAGAATTACTTACATTTCTTCAACCTATACTTACTTATAATTGGGGTTTCTGAATTTCTATTTCACGTTTTTCGTCTCGATTTGTGTCTTTCTCCAGGAAGTTTTTTTAGGTAGAAATTTATGAAGAAATTCACAACGACCAAACCGGTTAAAGTCATTTGCAGATGTATTTTGTTGTGCTTTAACAAATTGTACCAAAGTGGTACATTTTTAGTTTATAATGCTGTACGCGCTAAAAGTTGGGTGCGGCAACACTGCTAGAAAACAGTCGCTATAGGCCCGTAGACGAACGAAGTATTTAGCCGCGGCGGCTCATTTAGGATGATTCACGGTACACCGGACCGTACCCGAGCCGGGCACGTTTCGTGAAGTAGACACCGAGCCACGTCCGGGCCTTCTGTTTATGCTACACCGAGTTGCTAACGGGGCTCGTATTAGTTCTGAGTATATTATAAAACACAGCCCCATAGACACACGATGATTTAATACGAACAATGCCAAAGTTCTCGCAAGTGGAATTGGTACCAATTACAGTTGATGAAGAAAGAACAACATCTGCTCAAAGGGCAAGATGAAGGACCTATCTTTTTCATTACATCCTTTCATTGCGTTTTATGCATTCCCTGTCATTAAATACTGCTGTAAGATTCACTACCTACTACAGACATGATAAAAAGTGTACTTTGTTTATACCATAACTGCAGATTGCAGTGGGGGCACCAGGAAAAGTATATTCATGCTTTCCGCAACGTGGCGGGAACGGACCGTATCCGAGAAAAAATGTACGCCGACATTTCTGGGACGGGGCACGGACGAGTTCCGGCGAAGCTCGGATCGTGCTCGGCCTGGCATAAATGTATATGTGTAAAGAACACTTGACAATGTTTGGCCGTGTCTTCACCGACTCACGGCTCGGACCCGTTACGATGTACCGTGAATCATCCTTTTATGTTTGCCGCAACGGGGCCGGAACGTAGCGGATCCGAGGAAAAATGTACACCGACATTTTTTGGACGGGGCACGGACGCGTTCCGGCGAAGCTCGGACCGTGCTCGGCTTAGCATGAATGTATAAGTATAAACAAAGGTATAAATAACATTTGACAATGTTTGGCCGTGCCTTCACCGTCGCACGGCTCCGGCCCGTCACGTTGTACCGTGAATCATCCTTTACGACGCTCCCATTAAATAGGACGATTGATGATGGGGTTTCATAATACACAAAACGTCAGCAAAATATCAAAAAATCCTACATTTCGAGTTTCAACTCCTTAACTCATATAGGGCCCGAGTTACGACGCTCCAAGATCGTTACCACTTTTCCTCTCGCGTCTCCTGTGTCACGGTCTTGTCGGCTCGTGTGTCACGGCTTTAAATTTTTATTCCCATCGCGCGTAAATAAGTTTCACTTCAAAAATCTGCATTGATTGTGCAGATAGGCGATCAGATAGGCGATATCAACTATTATACATCAGAATCAATGTTTATGAAAATATCATTTTTATAAATTGTCCATAATTAATAAAAATGGCCTGGTTTAAGGTCTGCTAGACGAGAGACATGGCAGTACAGTTATTTTTTGTCGTTTTAATTAACAGATAAATTATATTTTATATCATTTTTTGATGTCGGCTGTTGAAAACTTCTGACTCGCTAGAGACACGTCGGAAGTGGTTAAATTATTTCAATTATTTGTTTATAGTATAGAGAAGCAAATCTATAGCTATTTGAATTCTTTGTAAAAACTCTAAATGCATTTACTAAATAATGCTGTTGGTTTGTAATGATTTAACCTTTGCTTTGTAAAATTACATTTGCAAAAAAAGTAAATATACAATACATTTTTTGGCATAGATGCATTTTTCTATAAAGGGTATGGGGAAAAAACAGATGATGTCGATTTTATGGAATTTTTAAGTAATCAATTTTATTTGTTGAGAATACCAAATTTTTTATACCGTTAATTTTTATTAAATAAAACTTTAAGGCGCGTTTACACGAGTCAAGTGAATTGATTCACTTGTATTGAATTCGCATGAATGCAATATGAACGTCTAAACTCGATAAATCATGTCAATTGATCAAGTGAGTTGATTCAAGTCTCAGTTAACTATTGTTTAAGTTTTGACGTTCAAGTGGTGTTTTTAAAATGGCGGCGGCAAGTAGGTTGTCAGAAGAAAATTCTGTAAATTTTTTTCTGTAAAATTCTGTTATAACCCCTATAATTTTTTTTTGTCAGATAAAAAATGAGATTTAATTGGTACATAAATAATTCCTACCATACCAAAAATGAGATTTGGTACATACCATCCTAATTTATGTCATATACTAACATTAGTATATGACATAAATTAGTTCTTGTTTCACCGGAAATGACTACAACTTTTGATTTTTAAATGTCACCCTCAGTATATTTTGACTTTATGCGATAGAAAATGACACTCCGAATAGAATGACATAATATCATATGTCAACTTTTGAGATTTTCGCTTTAAAACCGTATTTAAAATTTCAAAATAGGGTGCCATAGATGTTTTAAAAACACTGATTTTTAATCAAGGAGCCTTGGAAAAATAGATTTGATCGTCTAATGTTTTTCGTGTCTTGTTCTGGCCAGTTAAAATATGCCCAAATCGTATTTTTAATCACATCTCAATTTTTTCAAATGGAACTAGGGTGGCTCATTAACATATTTGGAAAAAGCATTTTTTGCGTATAATTTGGTACCTTGGTATTTCGAGTCAAATTGCCGTTATGAACCGCATGTTACAATTTCAAATAAACCATGTGAGAAAATGTCAAAAGTTGACATATGATATGTCATTCTATTCAGAGTGTCATTTTCTATCGAATAAAATAAAAAAAAACGAGGGTGCTATTTAAAATAGAGATGGGCAAAGATTGAACGAGTCGTTTACTTGAACGAGAGTATTAAAAATGAATCGTGAGATTCGATTCGATGCTTGCAATCCGGTTCGTTCAATTATATCATGGCCAGCACAGATCCATAACATTTGAACGATGATCCGTAAAAAAGAATTGTGAGAATTGAATCACAATGCGATCGTTCGTTTCTAGGGCGCGGTGCCGGGCGGCGGGCGGTGATATAGACATAAATGCAATAACAATTGAATACGTCAATCAATCCTAATTTATGTCGTATACTAACATACCAAATCTCGTTTTTTTATCTGAAAAAATAAAAGTTATAGGGGTGAGCCACTATTGAGACGTACCCGGTATATATAAAAAAATATGAGTGTTTAGAGAACACACAGACTCCAAAATACAAAATTAGTTAAAGAAGAGTAATTTCAAGTTTAAGTCGAGGAGAAATAGCAATAGGCATTAATGTGTCTTTGTTTTTTAACTACCGGTGCAACTTTTCCCAAGAAAAAAATAAATTGGTTTGCATCCACTCTTAATTTTCTTTATAATCTCCAGGATTTCCTAACCGTATCTCAGGTAATAAAGCACTATAAGTAGTTTTGCGGCTAATCCATTTTCTGACCATATATTTTTCTTTTACATCTTGATTTTTTACGTAATAAACTTTCTGTTAATTCTAAAGCTATAATTTGGCAGTTTGTAGTACAGCCTTAAGCTTCATTCAGAACCTCGCAATTAGTGGATTAAATTAGTGGTCTCAATTACACTTTATACTTTTTAGTTTACGATCATTCACAATGTTTAAAAAACACAATTAAAATTAATAGAATATCCTAGCAACAGCTTACGCTAGTCAGTTGTATCCATAGAGAAAGCCTAATATTTAGCTTATAAAACAATCAACTTTTGATTTCTAAACACAATTTCTCTTGAAGGAAGATAATCAAAGACGAAAATGACATTTCTCCCAAATTTTGAAGTATAATTAGTGGAAAAGTTAAAAGTTTGATAACTTTTTCTACTAATTGAAAATGCCTACCACTAATTTTGACGTTCTGTAAAATTAAAGGAACAAACTTCTACGCTAATTGAAACCACTAATTGTTACCAATAATTGCGAGATTCTGAACGAAGCTTTACGCACTCTCACTATTCTGAATGAACTAACAGAAGCTTTTTGACATGATATGTGTAAACTCGGAATATGCTTTGTCAGTTGAATTCAAGTAACTTGATCAATTCACTAGACCCGTGTAAACGCGCCTTCATTCAAATAAAATTCTTAATTGTTATTACTTATATTTTAGATCTTGTGATATATACTTTTCAGGATCCGTCGCGAAGTACAGATATACACAAAGTCTATATCATAAATTCTTAAATATTTTATACTAGAATTACAATAAATTAAATCAGCTGCATTATTTAAACAATTTGAAAATTTCGTGTGTTATATGACACAAAATATCACAGCTAGTTACACAAAAAAATCATAAAAATATAGAAGTTTTAAACAAATTATCGCAAAAATTACAACTTACAGCTAAATAATAGTAAATTTGATTTAAATTAAATTGAATTCGCATTTTTCACGCTTTTGGACTAACTAAAATTAGCTGCTCATTTTTGTATAACTTAAACTTTTTGTAAAATTAATATAGAGGCAAACCTACAGCTAAATAATTCAATTGACGATTTAAATTAAACTAAATTTGCAATTTGTTTACAATTGGACTTGATATGAAAATAAATAATTCATAATTTTCGTCTAAGTAAAATAAATATCTTATTCCTAAAAAAACTATTTTAACTAGTTAGAATCTTCATCACTACCAGACTCTCTTCTTGACGAAGATGGCGTATCCTTTTCTTCATTACTACCAGTGTATTTTCTTGATGCAGATGGCCTACGCATTTCTTCATCACTACCAGAGTCTTTTCTTGAGGAAGATTGCTTATATTTTTCTTCGTCGCTATCAGTATCTTCTCTTTTTGTAGATGGCTTACGTATTTCTTCATCACTACTATAATATTTTCTTGACGAATATGGCTTATATCTTTCCTCATCACTACCAGTATATTTTCTTGATGAAGATGGTCTATATTTTTCTTCGTCACTTCCAGAATCTTTTCTTGAAGAAGACTGTTTATACTTTGAGTCGCTTGGACTGCGAGATCTGAATCTCTTTCTTGAATAACTTTCAGGCGATTTATTATCTAAACGGCGGAAATTACTAAACGCCTTAGTTTTATTCCTTTTTTGTCTCTTCATACTTTTAGCGATGACTCGTTTTTGATGATCTAGTTGGGGAAACAGGTCTAAAAAAGAAATATAACTTTAACTTCGCTAAAAGTACGCATGTCCTTTAACTACTACTAAAATACTTCATTTTAAGACATGCATTTGCGGATTATTACCCCGTAGTTACAACAAAACAATCAATAAGAAAAATTAATAAATCGATCATTATGATATGGCACGATTAGGGTTTCCATAAAGGGCTTTTGGAAATTCCGGACAAGTGAACCCCGAAATCCGGACAAAACCCGGACGTCGCAAAAATGAAACTATAAATGTATTTATGAACCTTTACGACGCAAATAATAGCCCCGGAATCAACAAAATTTAAACCAAAAAAAATATTCACTTTCCAGGAGTGCACCAAAAGCGAAAAATTTGAGCGCCAAAGTATAGAAATGGGTACTTTCAAACATACGTCGGTTTAGCATCATAGGTACTAAAATATTCAACAAAGTAACTGAGAAATTAATTCAACTCTATAAAGCTTCATTCACAACCTCGAAATCAGTGGAATAAATTAGTAGTTTCAATTAGTCGTAGAAGTTTGTTCACCTAGTTTTAATGTAAGAACGTCATAATTAGTGGTAGTAACTTTCAATTAGTGGAAAAAGTTAACAAATTTTTGACTTTTCCAGTAATTATACTTCAAAATTTGCGAGGAATGTCATTTTGGCCTTTAATTATCACCCGTCATGAAAAATTTTGGTTAGAAATCAAAAGTTTATTGTTTTACGAGCTTAATATTATCTTAATATTATGCTTTCTCTATGGATACAACAGACTGCCGCAAGCTGTTGCTAGGATATTTTATTAATTTTAATTGTGTTTTTCAGATATTGTGAATGATGGTAAACTATAAAGTATAAAGTGTAATTGAAACCACTAATTTATTCTACTAATTGGGAGGTTCTGAATGAAGCTTAACTGTCAACTGTTTTACTGAATTAAATTGTTTTTGAGGTCAGGTTTCTCTAACGCTTTTAGCTTATATTGATATAAAATGGGTAATAGACAACCAATAAGTATTTTTATTGGATATTAAAGTAATGTGTGTTATGTGAGAAGAAAGTAATCTGTACATTATGTGAGAAATATAGTTGTATAAAATAAATATATAAAATATGGCTTATCTGTAATAAACATTTAATTACCTTGTGAAATTTCCAATGCTTTTTTTGCCGCATTCATTTCAGCTTGCTGTATACTATGTCCCATAGCACTGGCCAGTCTTTTACCTCTAAAATATACAGCTACAGTATACACTCTAGTATTTGTAGGTCCTTTGCATTCAATAACCCTGAAATTTACAAATATGCTGTAGATCACCACACATATTATAATTTTAGCTGTATTATACTTATAAACTGGAATATCTGGTTCGCCACCTTCCATTGTTCTTAAAGTTAAACAACACTGCTGTAGTTTCGATTTAGGATCATTCCAGTCTTGATTCATAATGAAGTCTTGTAATCTGGGAAATAGAGTTACTTGACAAAACACCTCGCAATATTCCATTCCCTATAATAACAAATTTATTCATTCCGTTCGGTAAATAATAGCTGAACATCATCACTAATTGTTAGAAATACAATTAAACTTGCCTGATCTACATACAAAGCTCCTATAAATGCTTCTAACAAATCAGCCCTATCTTTAGTTTTTAGTTCTGGTTTTGGATTGTTGTATAATGCATATTGTGCCATTCCTAAATCGTCACAAACCACAGCTTGAGTTCTATTGTTAACTAACGAACTTCTCAATAACTTAAAAAAAATAGCGGTAAAAAATGATAATTGTTTTAATTGTTGTATTCTTACAGATAAATGTCCCTCATGATGTTCAGGAAAATACTTATATAAATATTCTGAAGCAATCAACTGTAAAACTGTGTCCCCTAAAAATTCCAGCCTTTGATTAGAACCCATAGTTAGATTTGTGTAGCCGACACTCCTATCAGTAAAAGCTCTAGCGAGTAATCGAATGTGGTTAAATTCTATATTTATGCTTTTTTCAAAACCAGTTAGTTTCTTCAAAATATCAAATTTTTCTATCCAGTGTCGATCGCCCAGTGGTTCTTGCTCTTGTAAAGGGTGAGGCGGTAAATTTACCCAAACCTAAATATACAGGGTGGAAAATTAAAAAAAAATCGTGAGATGTGTTTTTACATAAGAGGGGGGTGTTTTTGATTTGGCGTTTCGCTCTACAATGTTATTAGATTATATAAGGTGAACAATTTTCAGTATACTGAAATCATTATACAACAAACTAAAAAATAGTAAAATACTGCAAGTACAATAACTCTTGTAGATGAGAAATACAAATTATCATTCTGCTTAAAAATCGATTTGATTGAAATTTAACTTTTTGGTGTAAAACGTTTTTGAAAAGTCGATAACATTGTGATATTGGTTCACCCTATACAAGGTTTGTTACACATAAATTCAATAAAAGTTTTTTATGATATAGTTTAGATGCAAAACAGAGTGTTTTTTGGTTAACATTATTTCGATATGTACTTTCTTTTTAAAATATTTTCCATTTTCTGTCACTTTTGGCTGAAAGTATGTCAAACGAGAATACATGACAGTGACTGTTATTGTCTGCAATTTTAATTCACAGATAAATTGTATTTTATGTCATTTTTGGATGTCGTCTATCGAAATCTTCGATGACTCGATCGCCATAGAGACTTAAGCAAAAAGTGGCTAAATTATTTGTTTATATTAAATAGAAACACTATATTTTAAGATGTTTAGATTCTATAAAAAATTCTAAATACGTTTAGTGTATAATGTTGTTTACTTATAAGTTTAGCCGTTTTTAAGCATTTTCTGTCAAAAATTACATTGGCAGAACAAAAGTGAATAATAGATTTTAGGCAGCAATGTATTTTTTTATAAATATATGTTGCCTGTCTTAAGTTTTACTCCACAAATTTTTTTATAGTAATTAAATATAATACATGGTACCCGTAAAAGATACATTCGAAAATATTGAAAATATTTGGAAAACGATTGGTCTTAAGTAGAGACATCATTATAGGCTTGGTGCATTCTCCGCCGGTGCTGCCACCATCGGAGAATACTGTAAACAGTGGACTAAACAAATATACGGGTTTAAATTGCGAAAGCACGAAAAATTTGTTATAGAATTATTCTAAAAGTGTATGGAAGTATTATTTGTGAAAATAATTCTAAAAACAAAATAAGTAATAATAGCAATTTTGATATCCCCAGAAGGTCTAACTTGTATTACAATTTATTATTCAAGCTAATAACTTTTTTTTAGATGAGTTCAACTACGGTAGCGAGGATAGTTTTACGCACCGGTTTTGCCAGTGGGGCAATAAATGGGGCTATTTAGGCTATAACGAAATTTTTTAAAGGTACATAATTATAATTCATTCATCAAGATGTTCATAAAAAATTTAAGTACTAGTGGATTAGAATGAGTGAGGGGGGGGGGTTAAACTGCGACCTTAAAGATCTATTGTACCCTTAAAAATCTATTGTGCCCACTAGTTGACTAAAAAAAGTATACCATTAATATTGCAAATCATAGTTTATCCTCTCATAGTATACACTATTTAGTTTTTTGATTATGTAACAGGTATTTTGTTTACTCACTTGTTTTGTCGAACTGCTCGAATCCATTTTTAGTTTTGATCAAATCAGTGTGAGAAGATATAAAATTTTGTTTAGGGAGAGTTGAATATCCAGGAGAGTTGAGTTATTGAATGTTATTGCACCCAACAACCACGTAATTACGCTCTCCTTTATGTGTCAGCATTTTTTCGGCAAATTTTTTAACATTTGGAATTATCACTACAGTACGTCTGTCCGTTCTGTGGCTACGGGGTATCCATGAGAGGGGAAACGATATTCTCTCGATGTTTTTCGTAAAAAATTAGACGACGCGTCCCATCAATAAAAAATCGACAAATTTGCAAGTAGCCAATAAAATGAGTGGGCGGAGCGATTTGCGGTGACGTACTCGTCAAGTCGACGTATAAAATATATTGCTGTTTATTTAAATGTTTTTTGTCCGCATTCCTTTCATAGACACAGGTCGAACTGTATACAACGCGACGCCTAGTTTAGGTTCTTTTTCACTTAATTTTTACTACCCGAAACAGCGTTATCTCTATCGTCACATAAATCTCGTACCTGAGTGTTTTATAGTTTCAATAACTGCACTAGTTAAAACTAAAATACTTAAATATTATGACAAAGCTACAAGTTTAATATTGTTTCAATACGATCGACATGAACGGTAACGGGACTGCGTGAAATACTTTAACCGAGCACTTCTAATTTCTGCCGTATCCGAGCGCTGCGGTCGGAATTTTTAAAATCAACTGAAATGCACCAAGCCTATATAATAATGCCTCTATCTTCAATGCTTAATAAAATTAAAAAAAAACACAAATACGTGTTTTTTATTCTATTATTTGAAATACAGGGTGGCGCACCTCATTCGCCTCGGTTGATTATACGAAAACGGAAAGATGTAGAAAGGAAATATTCTATGGGTTTAAGTGGGGAGACAATGTGCACAATTTAAAATTATTTTGAAATATACAGGGTGTTTCAGAACTAAGAGCCATACCAAAGTTATATTTTTTCTTATGTTACACCCGAAATTTTATTTAATTTTTGGATTCCTGTGCCCCAAAAAAAACCTTTTTTATGAGGGTTAAATATGTTTAAAATCTTTGGTTTTTGAGATATTTAAAGATATTTAAATTTGCATGCTACAATAGAATAGATACCCTGTCCATTGCTATTCCGAATTAATTCTTAATTATTCATGAGTTTTAAGGTAGAGAAATAAATTTTACTGAAAAATGGTATTGCTTCCTTAAATTTATACAGGGCTATCAAAAGTTGCTGATCTGTTTTAAGGATATATTTTATATAAAACTCCGTTATTTCAAATGCATTTTTTTTTGTATTTTATATGTATTTTTTTAAATAAATCTAAGCAGATTCAAATGCTCTTTCAAACTATATTAGGGTTTCCTATACCTATCTAGCTCAGATTTTGCATAAAAAGCGATTTTTAAATAAAATTGCAATCAAGATGGCTGGTATCGCTATGTCAATTTTATAGTGACAATTAGTAACTATTTCCAAAGTCGACATTAGTTTAAAGACATTATCATTTATAATTTATAACAGTTTACTTAAATTTACCTACAATAATTTAATAAGTATTCATTATTTTATCAAGAAAAATACAGCAGTATCTGCTGGTGGGCGAATAGATATGTTACTAGTGATTTTATTTTGTGAAGAAAATTGCTTCTTGGCCTCAAGGGCTTATGCTTAAAGATATCCAAATACGAATCCTGCGTGTGGTTACTAAAAAAACTATTAGGCAGAAACCTGTCGTTGGAAGTGAAGAAAATGAATTTGCCATAATTGGCTCTTTTATAGAAAATCCATATATCTGCAAGTCAGCGTAAAATAAATTAAAGAACTACTTCTTCGTTTTTCTTGATAGAATAATAAATACATATTTAATAAATATTATTTATTAAACTATTGTAGGTAAATTAAATAAAAGTAAACTGGTATAAATTTAAATAAGTCCATAAACTAATTTCGATTTTGAAAATAGCTACTAACTGTCACTAGAAACTTGCCATGACGACACTAGCCCTCTTGGTTGCCATTTTATTGAAAAATTAATCTTTATTCAAAATCTGAGTTAGTTAGGTATAGGAAACCCTAATATAGTTTCAAAGAGCATTTGAATCTGCTTCGAATTATTTTAAAAAATACACAGGGTATCCTATTTGAAATAACGAAGTTTTTATGTAAAATATATTCTTAAAATAGATCAGCAATTTTTGATACCCCTGTATAAATTTAAGGAAATAATAACATTTTTCTGTAAAGTTTATTTCTCTACCTTTAAACTCAGCATAAGAATTAATTCTGAAAGTAATGTACAGGGTATTAATAATCTATTTTATTGCAGCATGCAAATTTAAATATCTTTAAATATCTCAAAAACCAAAGATTTTAAAGATATTTAACCCTTAAAATAAATGCCTTTTTTTGGACCTAAGAATCCAAAAATGAAATAAAATACAGGGTGTTCCATAAGAAAAAATATAACTTTGGTATGGATCTTAGTTCTGAAACACCCTGATATTTCAAAATAATTTTAAATTGTGCACATTGCCTTCCCGCATATACCCACTAAATATTTTGTTTCTACATCTTTCCGTTTTCGTATAATCAACCGAGGCGAATGAGGTGCGCCACCCTGTATATTAGACGACATTTGTAGTCTTTTTTTCATTTAATTTTGTCATATTTTTATGGGCATATTTTGTGTAATAATTAATCGATTACTATAAAAATTAAAGTATAGTAAAACATTTTCGAAAAAAAACAAGCAGATATTTCAACAAATGTTTCTATTCATACCTGAAGTAGTTCCGGGTCGTTTTTATATAACGTGTTTGAAAAAACTCGGTCTGCCACATCAATACCTCCATCAAGGAACAGCGCTCCCATTAATGCTTCAAAACAATTTGCCATCGCATGTTCTAACTCCAAATCATGACATAGATCGGAGCCATGAGCATACAACATAAATTGATCCAATTTCAGCACTTTTGCTAATAAAGCTAGATGTTGATTCTGCACAATTGCTGCTCTACAATGTTAGAGATACATTTCATATTAACATCACTCTAATAAAAATATATGATATGGATAATAAGTTGCAAGTTTCGAATTTATTTAAATTAAACATACTTTAAGCTTCATTCAGAACCTCGCAATTAGTAGAATAAATTAGTGGTTTCAATCCTCTAATTTGAGTGTAAACATTCAGAACGTTAAAATTAGTGGTAGGAATTTTCAATTAAGCTTCATTCAGAACCTCGAAATCAGTGGAATAAATTAATAGTTTCAATTAGTCGTAGAAGTTTGTTCACCTAATTTTAATGTAAGCGTTCAGAACGTCATAATTAGTGGTAGTAATTTTCAAATAGTGGAAAAAGTTAACAAACTTTTGACTTTTCCACTAATTATACTTCAAAATTTGCGAGGAATGTCATTTTGGCCTTTCATTATCACCCGCCAAGAAAAATTTTGGTGCAAAATGCAACAAGTTTAGATTGGAAAGCCCGTAAAAATTTTAGGTCGCGAAATTATTTTGGGTCGCGACCGTTATACGCGATCTGGCGCTGCTATAGCGGTTACTAAGAACAACGGCAAACAAAAACAGAAATAATTTTCTCTTGTCAAAGTCAGAATCTTCAAAAATCATAATAATCTTTCAAAATCCAAACCGCTCTCATTAAAGAAAGTCCAAAAAGTGTTCATAGCGTCCATTTTCAAAGTAATAATTGCTATCTTGTGAGTTTAATTCAAGTTTTATTTACTCCAACCGGTGATAATTGTGAAAAAGTGGCATTAAAAACTTAAAAAGCTGTGCTGTGAACTGCAAAAACCATCGTGGATCGTGGCATAACGTCGGTTTCCAATGTTTCATAGGTATTTCATAAATGCGTCCTTATATAAAATAAAGTTTCTTGTATGCAACACACTGTCTTTTATTTATAAAATTAAACGAAAATAATAATAAATTTGAATAAACAATATTTGGCGATATAATTCCTGAAAAAGCCGAACCGCTCCGAAATCTTCAAAAGTTTTGGGTCGCGACCGTTGCAAGCATAGCGCCAAATAGTGTTCACATTGTCCTTATGGGCACTTTCCAATCTAAACTTGTTTCATTTATCTATGATTTTAATTGTGTTTTTAGACATTGTGAATATGTTGTGAATGATCGTAAAATAAAAAGAATAAAGTGTAATTGAAACTACTAATTTATTCCACTAATTGGGAGGTTCTGAATAGGGAATGCAATCCCGCAAATGCTGGATCCCGCAAATGCGGGATCACTCTAAGATTCCGCGGGATTTACCGTGCGGGATCCGCGGGATTGACACTTTACTACTGGGTAACCGAATCGATCGCGATCAAGGTCAAACCGCTTCGTTCCGGGCCGATGCGTCGACGCTCGGAACCCGGGGGATTCCCCTTACGGCTTGACCATTAAAAATAAGTGAAACAAACAGGTTAGTTGTTAGATTTCTTTCTGGCATGTTTCTGGCGTATGTGTGTAAGTGAAGAAAAGCGTTTAACTAGTACTTGTGGACAATTTCGTCAAATAAACTGCCGGACATTTAATTATCTAATATCGGATAAGCAAATAAAAAATAAAGTTAATAAACTTTTGACTTTTCCACTAATTATACTTCAAAATTTGCGAGGAATGTCATTTTGGCCTTTGATCATCATCCGTCAAAAGAAAATGTGATTAGAAACCAAACGTTAATTCTTTTACAAGCTAAATATTAGGTTTTTTTCTATGGATACAACTGACGAAAAATAACTGTAAAAGTTATAAAAATGTGTCCTAGAAAACTATAAAAAATATTTCTATAACATAAATACCCTATATCCATTCGTTAAATAAAATGTTACACTTGCTATTGTAACGTTTAAATACGTTTAATAAATCGAAAAAAAAATTGTAAATGTTATAAAACTATATAAAAAATGATTTGTATAACACATATACCTACCACATTCATCAATTAAAATGTTGGACCGATTTTTGAAGTAATTTCGTGTGAATCCATTAGATTTCTAACTTCTAAAGGGCAGAGATTTATTTTGAAATTTATGTACAAGTGACAAAAAAATGCTGTTCGAAAAGGGAATCTTTTGATGTTAGACTATATCTTCAAATCGTTGTCAGAAAATATGCTGTTTTATATCTTTTAATTTTACACTTTGACAATAGATAATACTAATTTCATTCTCGACTTAAAACTATTTCCGAACAATAGTGTATTGTGTAAGGAGTAAAAATTATACTGTTTTTGACGAGATTGTACGTTTGACGAACTAGCGTAAACAGGGAGGCACAAAAATACATTTTTACTCCGAGTAGAATCTATACTAATATATAAAATCCTTAAGTGACTGACATACTGATTAATCACGATCCTGCTCAAACCACTCAACGTAAGAAGCTCAATTTTGGCATACAGGTTGATTCTAGGGTGTAGAGGTTCGATAAGAAGGGATTTTTCGAAATTCCAGTTCCAAGAGGGTGAAACCACCCCTCAAATATTACAATATTTTTTATTTAAAAAACAGTCAAGTTTCCGAAAAAACGCTTAAACACGTATATTTTATTTGGTTTTTTACATATTTTAAGATTTTTTAAAAATGTATACAGGGTGTTTCGAAAAATCTGGTCACTGATTAATCACGATCCTGCTTAAAGAGCTTGACGTAAAAAGCTGATTTTTGGAAAACAGATTGACTTTAGGGTGTAGAGGTTCGATAAGAAGAGATTTTTCGAAACTCGAATTCTAAGGGGGTAAAACTATCCCTCAAATATTAAAATATTTTTTATTTAAAAACCGATGAGTTTTTCGGAAAAACTCTTAAACACGTATATTTTATTTTGTTGTTTTACATATTTTAAGATTTTTTATAAAGTTATACAGGGTGTTTCATAAAATATGACCACTGAGTAATCACGATTCTGCTTAAACTGCTTGACGTTTAAAGCTGATTTTTGGCAAACCGATTGACTGTGGGGTGTAGAGGTTCGATAAGGAGGGGTTTCTCGAATCTCAAATTCCAAGAGGGTGAAAACGCCCCTCAAATATTATAATATTTGTTATTTAAAAAACGGTTAGTCTTTCGGGAAAAAGCTTGGCCAAGCATAATTTATTTGGTTTTTTTACATATTTTCAAATTTTTTAAAAAATCATACAGGGTGTTCCAAAAAGTTGGGTAATTTCTTAACCACGATTCTGCTTGACGTAAAAAGCTTATTTTGGGCAAACGGATTTTTCGAAAACCAAATTCCAACGAGATGAAACTACCCCTCAAATATTACCAAGTTATATAATAATATCGCCATATTGTTTTTCCTCATGCTGACATAAATGCGAGAAAATTTTATCCAGTTTGTATGTTAATGGAAATTCATGCTTTGCTTTATCATCACCAAATGATTAATTCGACGCGAACGAAGTCGCTGGTTGGTACACGCTAGTATACTATATTTTTACAAATTAAACATTACAAATAATTTTTTGATCAATTTCAAACGTTGCGAATAATATAATGTCAAGGTGTATTACTGGTTGCATAACTGCATACTGCTAAATAATCGCAACGTGCATTGAGGAACCTGGCGCATTCGCCAGAAAGTAAAAGAAAATTATAGAATTCTTTAGAAAATTCCAGAAACCATCGCCAGGGGGTATATAAGGCCCGCGCTTTGACAGTTGGACAAGTCTAAAGTCTGAAGATAGTCTGAAGTCTGAAGTTTGAAAATACCGCGAAATACCGTTAGGGTAATAGTAGTTGCATAAGTTGTGTTGTAAATAGTATAAGTTGTGTGTACAGAGTGAAACAAATAAATTCGGTAAGTATTTTATCGTGAGTTTAAATAGTGGACCCACGGAATCCGTAACAATTGGTGTCAGAAGTGGGATTCAAGAGAATTTTAAGAAGAAATTAAGTGGATTGGAAGATTTTTAGACCGAATTTAAGTATTTTTATTGTTGGTACAAGGGAGCAAGCGAAGAAAATGGAGGAAGTAAGCAAATTATTGGGCGATTTTATGGAGAGTATGAGAAGAGAGAAAGAAGAGGAACAAGACCGTCTACAGAAAATACTTATGGAAAATCAAGAAAAAAATGTTAGAAAGTTTAGAAGCGCGTCAAAAGAAAGAAAAACAAGAACAGGACCGGCTTGAGAAAATTCTCGAATATTTCAAAGTTCAACGAGAGCACGACAAACAAGAAGAACAGGACCGGCTTCAGAAAATTCTTGAAAATCAAGAAATTAGACAAGAACGGTTGGAGAAAATTGTTGAAGATTTAGAAGTGCGTCGCCAGAAAGAAAAATTAGAAGATCAAAACCGATTTAAGAAGAACTTTGAAGAACTGGAAAAAAGGCAAGACATCCACCTTCAAGAAGCCGTAGAAGATCTTGAGGAACGCCTTCAGCAGAAAATGGAAAAATTAGAGATGGACCTACAGAAGACCAAGGTACAAGTAAAGACACCTGGCGTTCATGGAACTGCGAACCTCAAGGCCCCGACCTACGATGGACAAACCACCTGGACGATGTACCACCGCCAGTTTGAAGCAGCGGCTGCTGCGAATGGATGGACTGACCAGGAGAATGCAGCGGCACTTGTCATCGCGCTGCGTGGCCCTGCCCTGGAACTCTTGCAAACTATTCCTGCAACCCAACAGCAGGCATACCAAACTTTGGTCGCTGCACTGGACAGAAGATATGGCGACCAACATCGACGTCAACTTTACCAGGCCCAGATCAAGACACGCATGCAGAGGTCCGGAGAGAGTCTGCAGGAATTGAAGCAGACTTACGTCGGCTGGTACACCTAGCGTATCCTGAAGCACCGGAAGGATTTAGGGAGGAACTCGCTGCTCAGTGCTTTATCAGCGGACTGAGGGACAACGAATTACAGAGGGCGCTGCAAATATCCCGATTTTCTACCAGCAGCGAAGCACTGGTCAGGGCGCTGGAAATCGAAGCTGCATTTAGCGCCATCCCTAGACCGAAGATAAGATCGGTAACGGTTGA